ATGTGTGCAGATATGCAGACAAATCAGCTGTTGGCTCTGCATCCAGGGGCCTGGGTCCATTGCCTCGAACTGTAGCAGCACTAGTTGGGACCCATTATTTCTTGTCTGAGAATATGGAGATTTGCTAAGTTAGGCACACAGCTCTATTGCTCAATCTTTGTTTTCATTAGGCAGATATACAATTTACTCCAAATACCTTCTGCATTCCAGAGATCTGTTAATATTAACTTGGCTTTTCTGAAGCACTTGGATACAGCCTTACTCACAAGGGTTAAAAGAGATGCTTGGAAGGAAGTAAGACATGATGTGGGCTTCTCAAAAACAAAGCGTACCCAAGCGTGTGCAGACCCTCGAAGGGAAAGTCACCAGTTTTCCCTTTTAAATATGAGGCCCTGCACTGGCTTGATGGCTCAGCAAGTTAAAATGCTTCCCTCCAAGTCTGGTGATCTGAGTTTGATCCTAGACACACATGGTGGAAGGAGAGAACTGACTCCCACAAATTGTCCTCTGAACACCGTGCGTGTGCTTTGTTGTGTGCCTCTGCAAACAGACATGCACACACGCACACACATTCACGTGCACACACATATGCACGCACATGCACACACGCAAATAATAATTATTATAATAAAGAAAAAGTGAGTTTATCTGCACATGTAAAGATTTGAGGAATACATCCACAGGACAGGTGGGTCTTGGGGGAGCCAAAGGTCAGTGGCTGCGGGGCCATCTTCATTGATTTAGGAAGTTGTAGGCAAGACATGCTTTGAGCACTCTAGAAGCCAACACTGAGATACAGGGATTTCAATAAAACCAGATTCCAACCCAACAGAGCTTTCTACCAACCAGAGTCATCAAAAAATGGGTTTTCTTATGCCAGGGCCGGCTGCCCATCATAGAACTTACTCCGCCAAGGCTATTTCTTGGCAGGGAAAGGGGAGTGAGGGGACTCCTAGAGAACGGAAGTCTGAGCCAATCTAAGACATTTCTAGAATCTTTAGGACCTAATATCGCAAGTTGTTAGAGTACACTGCGTTACTGGGTGTTGCATGCGCGATGAGCCAGCCACTTCTCTGAGCAAAGCTTCTGGTTGCTGAGGAACCACGTCTGATCCAGCCCTGCCCACACGCAAGGGTCATAAAGTTTCCCTGACAGAGGTAGGACTCAGGCTTCCGTAACTATTAACCGTCCCCATGGAAGGCATTTGCATGGTCATCTTGCTGCTCATCGGGTAAGCAGTTGACATGCACCCTGCCTCTGCGTTCTTCTGTGGGAAAGCCACTCCGCACAGCGCCTTCCCTACCAGTAGTTGGATGAGAAGCTAAATCATCATGAAGGCAGAGCTCACATCAGCAACACTGGGTTTAGCCCAGTGTGGCAGGATGAGGAGCTGGGGGAGACAGACCTTGGTTCTCCTTCTTTGTCCTTGTCTCAAAGGGGAATGTAGAACCCCGACATTCCTCCTCAGTTCTCCACATGAGACCTGACTGTCCTCGGCCCCTAGGATGACATCAGTCAGAATGGTAGCTGGCGCCAGCAGTAGCCAGGGCTGAGGAACACTTACTGTGTAGCCTGTGCTCATCTCTTTGTGTGGGTCACCTCAAGGGACCCTCAGTGTCCTACATGGTTACTGGAGTCTAGATGAGGAAACCCAGGTCTGAGGCATCTAAAGGTCATGTTTAAGGAGGTAGCTGTCAGATCCCAAGGCATCAGCTAGCCAGTCCACCGTAGAGAAATGTAACTCCAGGGACCAGCAGGATGGTTCATCTGGTAAGGATATTTGCATGCAAACCTGGTGACCCGAGTTTGATCCCTAGAACTCAAGTGAAGGTGGAATGACAGAAGCTCCTCTACAAGGTTACCCTTGGACCTCCACACCTGCACTGTGGCATGCACCCACACAAGAGCAATAAATAAACGTGTTTTAAGGAAATAACGCAGGAAAGAGAGTGACTTCCTCCTCCTAGCCCTTGTTTTAAGCCCCTCACCAGCTTGAGGAGGTGTGGGCACAGCAGCTCTGTTCCAGGGCCTCAGTATGTTACTGTCATTGTACCTTTTTGACGGGCAAGAGAAGCAGGTGCTACAGTGTGCATTTTGCAGAGACACCCGGGGACTTGCTCAAGGTGACCTGTTACCCAGGCTGGCTGCTTCTGCAGTCTGTGCCCCTCGCTGAGGGAATAGCACTGAACACCCTTCACAGACACTAAATTTATATTTCCTGGCCTCCCCTTCCAAAATGGATACACTAATTGCAGACTTTTTTTTAATAGTAATCATCAAGAACACATTTCTTTAATGTTTGCGTTTTCTATTCTGCATAATGCCAAAATAAAACATTGATCAAATCCACGAGCTCAAACCCAGTATGGCCATGTAAATTAGGAAGGGTTAGGAAGACATTACACTGAACGGAAAGCAAAAAGTGTTGATTAGGGACTTATTTTTGTATGAGATTAAAATGTGAATCGTTAAAATAGGACTATATTTTGGGTTCTGCATTCCCTTCTTGTTGGAGCCATAGCAATGGCTCCTGGTTTGGAGCACTGAAACCCTTCCCAGTTCTGAAGCCTGGTGCCCAGTACAGGTTCTGCTTTCCCCCAGCATTTCCAAGAGTGTGGTCAGAGCTCCTCTGTGTCCGCCTGCCTGTCCGATCTTAAGAAAATCCCCTCGAGACTGTCATCTTAATTTTCATTTATCCTAATTGTATATGGTAGCAGTTAGCTGTGTCACCAACAACCAAAATTCAAAGACGGGGGATGGACTGAGTATAGCAGTTAGCTACGGAAGGTCCTTGGGGTGTGGGGGGGTGGGTATTTGGGAAAGGGTAGCCACCTATAGAACTTGATTTGGTCCAAGGGGGCGGTGGTAGATAGGTTTGCCGGGAGAAGTCACTCCTGGAGTGTTTCCAAGGTTCATGCTCAGTTTGGAAGAAAAAATAGCAATATCTACAGCCCAAAATACTCAGTTAAATTAAGTTGTTAATTAAAGTGTCTTTAAAAATGGCTAAGATCAGAGACAAAGGGCCATTGTTTGCTACAATTGTTGACTGCATTATCTCTGTATGAAGAAGGGTGTGGGGAGGACAGGGAGGCCTGTGGTGTTTTTGAAAATTAATCACCCATCCTTACAGAGTGCCAAAGCCCACACACACACACCATTGTGAACTTGGATCAAAGCCAGAGAGGGGTGGAACCAGTTGATGAAGGTTTTTGTTGTTTTGCGGGGGGGTTGGCTTTGTTTTTGGGGGGAGTCTTGCGGATGACCTACTCAGTAGACTTTTCAAATGCCAGGTGTACAGCACCCACCGTTCATTGTCTCCGAGCACTGGTGTGTGGAGATAATTTCATGGAGCTTGCAGGACCTTGGAGTGATACCTAGAAGTATTTTTAAAGAAAGAGCAACCCCATACTGTTCCAATTCTTTATAGAGAGTGGGCACTTCTGACCAACATTAGTGAAGTTTGGTATTTTTAGCACCTACAAACCCAGCCTGGGTTCTGAGGGAATTAGAAAGGTGTATTCTCCCCCCCAGGAGAAGTTTTCGTTGTTGTCGTATGAAATAGGATGTTGCTGTGTAGCCCAGGCTGGCTTCAAATTTCCCATCCTCAGCCTCCTACCATGACATCTAGCTGATAGGTAAAATGTCTATGAAGAGTCTGTGAGGTAAAAGTTTTGCACATTTAAAATGTAGCTACTAAGGATGTCATTTTCTTCAAATAATTCCAAAGTGCAAGCAGAGAGAGACATTGAGATTTTCACAAAAGTAGAACGACATTGAGACTCTGGGATCATCCTCTGCTGTCATCAAACAGCAGGTTTTCAGCAGCCTGAAAACGTCAGTAGCGTGGGTACAGCTTCCAAACCTAATATGGTTTTCGTGGACCCTTTGCTCCTCCCAAACTAATCCATGAGCCCCCTCTGGAGGATTTATAGTGTTATCCCATCTGTTGTTTAGAGGTTTTTATGTAGACAATTTATATTGTTTAGAAGGAATGGGCAAGAAGATGGCTCATTGGGTGGCAGTGTGTGTCACACAAGCCTGACAGCTTGCTTGAGTTTGATTCCAGGGACACACTTAACGTAGAAGGAAAAACCAGCTCCACAAAGTTGTCTTCTGACCCACACATGCTTGCTGTGAATGTGCACTACATGTGTGGCTAGTGCCCACAGAGGTCAAAAGAGAGTGTCAGATCCCCTGGAACTGTAGTTCAGATAGTTGTGAACTACCACAAAGGTGCTGGGAACTGAACCCTGGTCCTTTACAAGAGCAACAAGTGCTCTTAACCACTGATCAATCTCTCCAGTCCCCAAACTTTTCTTACTACATTACTCTTCTTTACTTTTTGTTGATGTTTTGTTGTTGACAGGGACTCAGGTAGCCCAGGCCATCCGCGGGGTGGCCTGGAACTCCTGCTGCTCCTGCTTCTACCTCCCAAGTGCTGGGATCACAGGTGTGCACCATAGTGACCTGCTCTTTTTTTAGCATTTAGAAACAACTTCGTTGAGATCTGATGAACCTACGAGAGCTGTATAAAGTACATAATTTTATCAGTTTAGAAATGACTGCATATCCATGAGCTCACCACTGTAATAAATGTAATATCCATATCCACTACCTCAAAATTTTCCCTTGTCATCTTTATTATTATCATTGTTATTAGTTTAATTATGAGAACATTTTCCCCACCGTCTACCCACTTAGCAAACCGTAAGTGTACCATACAGCACCAATTACAGCACCCTCTTCCAGGCTCCACAGGCACCCACATGCACATGGTGCAGACACATACATATCAAACTTAAACAAAATCTTTTAATAATAATAGTTTTTAAAAAAGCACTGTGGCCTTCACATGTCCAGGCAGGTGCTGTGCCCCATCCCTCAACAGTCTGTTCTATGTTCTTTCCTTACCTCTGTGGCTGTCACGGCTCCACAGCTCCTTCTGTAGCTGTTAACTAAAGCATCTCATCTCTCTGTTTCTTATTCCTTTTTCCCTCCAGGTGATGTGCTCTATGAACTCCTTCAGCATATTCTGAAGCAGAGGAAACCTCGAATTCTCTTCTCGCCTTTCTTCCACCCTGGGAACTCTATCCACACGAAGCCAGAGGTCCTGCTGCATCAGAACCATGAAGAAGGTACTGGAAGACGCTTCCCTTTGCTTGCCTACAGTTTAGGCAAGCCTAGGGGTCCATTAGTTAACTGATAGGCTGTAAGTTTATTTTTCATTCAGGAAACATGGGTTGAATGTGTACAGTGTGCATACACTGGAGGAGTTGCATGGATGAGTAGGGCATAATACCGTTAGCTCTCTGAAGTTCACAATCCGAAGTGTAAACACTGATTACAATAATATACACCGGAGTGTAGCGTGATGGGAGATGATGCCCAGGTACAGGAAGCATGTTCACCTTTATAAAGGGAGGAATCTAGAGGAGTCCGATAACAAGCAAGAATATTCCAGTTAGGTAGGAATAAGGCCTCAGAATAGAGAGCAGTAAGATCACGTAATCCGCAAGCCCTTCTCATAAAAAATTTCAAATCTACATTATCCATGTAGAATAAAATAAATAAAGCTTTGCGGGCCATCTATCACCCTGCTTCAGCAGTATGAACGCTTTCCAATATAGAACTAATCCAAGGAGGTTAGCCCGGAACCAAAGTGGAGAATTGAGATTCTGTGGCTGTGGAGAGAAGTGACAGCAAGGCATTCGTTGAAGATGTTTGAGCAAGGTGTTCCTAAAAGCCCAGAGGAGGAGGAAAACCAATGTGGGGGAAGTTGGTGTTGGCTCGGGGCTTTCTCCATCTTGCTGTTTGCTGGAATGAGCACAGTATCAAGACTCGTGTCATAGTTATTGTTCCTTGTGGGACCCACGGGAGCCAGAATAGCACCAGCAGACAGCACAAGACCATGGAGTGTGTGGTCCTGGGCGCAGGGCTACAAAATGTGACTTTGTGCGCAGTGCCACTGAACAGCAGGGCGTGATAGCATTTGAGCAGAATCACAACTTCCAAGGCCATCAAGCCCCCCCCCCCAGTGGAGCAGGCAGCCAGCATGCAGATATGTGAGCACCACCCTATGGGTCTTTTCCACACGTATTTTCTTTAAAGCCAATCTCTAGATCCTGTTGCTTGGGAAGTTTTGTTGACTACGGAATCACTCGCCAACACAGGACGGCTGCTTTTCTTTTGCGGCCAGACAGTTAAAATCTTGTGGTTGGTATTCCCTTAATTAGCACTGTACAAAAAGCCTGACTGGGGGGGTGGGGACGGGGGGACAGGAGACTTGTCTCTCAGCAAGTCCTCTCCTGCATATGAGATAGAGAATAATGCCAGTGTTTCTGGCTTGTTCCCACCCTCATCCTCCTCTCTCCTCCAGTGACCCAGGCTAAATTTAGCAACTGTCCCTTCCCCTCAATTGGGGTTTGATGTTCCTCTGCTCTTCTGGCCTTTCTCATTTCCGACTTGCATAATACCCAAGAGCCACTCCAAAGAAGAGGAGGTGGGCTCACTGAAGCTTGACAGTAAGGCAGGCCTGGCGTTATCAGCCTGGCTCTTCAGACACACGGGGTTTGGGATGGGCTCCCCCTCCTTCTTTCTCTATTTAAAAATATTTATTTTTCCTTTGAAATGTCTGCCCCCATTTTCTTCCCAAATATGGTTGAAGGCATGTGGTTCCTTCCTACTTGGTCTGATTTGACTCAGAAGTAGATGAGTTTCTCTCTCTCTCTCTCTCTCTCTCTCTCTCTCTCTCTCTCTCTCTCTCTCTCTGTCTGTCTGTCTGTCTGTCTGTTGTCTTATTCTCCTCCTCCCTTCTTCTCCCCTCATCTTCCTCCTCCTTCTTCTATGCAGGGGATAATCTTTCCTGGAGAAAGGTAGCCAACTCTGAGAGCTACCCTCAAACCAAGGAATCTGAGGTCTGGCCCATCATGTGCCCCAGTAAGCTGTGCATGCCTGTGCTGAGATGTCTGTGGTGAACTCAGCCACTGAGAACAGAGCTAATGAGGCCGAGGCCAAGGGCAAGGGCAGGCGACACCATCTCTACCAGGTGGCGTTAACAGAAAGAGCTGTTTGAGACACGGGGTGGCAGGAAAAAAATATCTCCTGTTTTATACCTTCAGAATGGTGGCTTGCCCCCCCCCACCTCCAGCCTCTTCCATCCTTCTCAAAAAACAACAACAAAACCCCAAGTTCACCATGCAGTGTCTTAGGTATTAAACCTCTGCTGTTTGTGAAGGCGCTAGACCGGTTAATGGCAGGAGAGGCTATAGCTAAAAGTTTGCTAAAAATATGGGGAGATCTGGCCCAAAAGAAAAATTTCTGTAAGATGAAATTACACATACAAAATTTTATACCCAGTTAAGGATACACAAAACTATGTTGGCCCAAGACTACTCATGCTTGCTGCTGTCTTGACTTCATTGTGTTTGTGGGTAAAAGCTGGTTGGCTATTCCTTATCAAAATGTTTGGGATCAGAAGTGGTTTGCATTTCGGGTTTTTTAATATTTACATATACATATATATGTATGTATGTATGATATCTCAATGCTATCCATGAAATTCATTTGTTTTGTATGCCTTATATACATGGTCTAAAGATGATTTTTTATAAAGTTTTAATTTACTACAAATGACCAACATGCCTATGTTGTGAATGTGACCCGCCACCCAAGGTCAGGTGTGGGATTTGGCATGTGTGGCATGTGGACCTTTGGGGTTTCAGGCCTTGGGCCACTTCAGAGCTCAGATCTTGGGTTAGAGATGCCAAGTGCGGGTGTGAATGACAGGCCCGAAAGAGGGGCAGAGCTACAGTGTCTGCCTCAGGCAGAGCCCCCAATGCGGCTAAGCACCCCGGTAGGGAGAGTGTGCGAAGAGACATAAGCACAAGGCTGCGTCCACCCCCCACCCCCACCCCCCGTGACCTCACTTCACCCCAGCCGCCAGCTTAGCTGCCTCAGACCCTGGTCATTTCACAATGGAAGCTGAAATGTGTCTCGTTTGGTCTATCGGTGGCTTCCCCACAAGTGTCCCCTGTGAGGCCTTTACATTGTATCCTCACCTTCCATTCTAGCAACTGTAAGCAGGGACAGCTGTGAGAGTCCTGTGATTGGCTTAAGGCTTCCCCTCCTGTCCTGGACGGGATTGTGACCACACAGATGCAAACAATTTCCACAACATACCTTCTGAAATCCTGTTTCCGCTCCCTTTATTTATCAGTTATGAAAGAAGAAGATGAAATATTACTAGGCTGACTATACGGTATCTCTCATTATTGAAAGACTTGAGTTAAAGACACAACACTCCACTAATGGGTAAGCCAGGGCATCAGGATAAACCAGAACCATTCCGAGTGTGTGTGTGTGTGTGTGTGTGTGTGTGTGTGTGTGTGTGTGTGTGTGTGTGTGTGTGTGTGTGTGTTTAAAGAACAGGATCTGGAAGTCAGGAAACAAGGCTATTCTAATCCCCAGTTTTGCCCGAACCAAACAGGTCAGGTTTGTCATTTCTCAGACACTCCGTTTCTCCTGTTGTGACAAGGGAAGTTAGATTAGGTGGTTGTAAAGGTCCCATATGGCTTTCAAATCCTAACATAGCCAAGCAGCATAGAGATGAACAAGACACCGTCTTCTCCTCAGGGTCTTAGGCAGTTAAAACACGGGAAGCCGGGGCAGAATCCCACTTGGTGCTACCTAGGAACAGAAACCCCTGCTGGTCTCAGTTGTATCGCCTGTCCAGAACGTGTGGCAGTGTGGAGAATAGCTTCATTCACTTTTGTGAAAAGTGCAGTTTCAGAAGATTCCTATACTGTGGCTGTCATGACTCATCGATAGTGGGTAGGCGTTTGTATAAAAGGCAGACAACATAATTGATGATGCTTGCATTTGCGCAAGAACCAGGAGGCAAAAAGCATCTTCAGACAGTCTGGACCAGCAAATAACCATAAAATAAATCTATCTTGTTACATTCAGTTGTGATGGCCGCTCATTTTAAGACTGTAGTTTCCAAAATCAGCCTCTTTTAACATCCCATGGAGCTGAAAGTAACAGATTGCCACTCTTTCCAAAGAAAGACTGTCCCCAACATGTACATGCAGTTGACACTGGCCCCCTCAGAGCTCTTTAAGTCATTTTAAAATAAGCTGCCAGTCTGGGCTAAAATCCAAGTGGGGCTGACTGAGAGTGACCCCTGAGGACTGGTCAGACACCGTCTATAGGGAGAAGGGAGATGTGTGTTTCTCTAATGGTCTGTTTCCGTCTCCCTGCCCCCTCCTATCGTTTAAACTCTTCAGTTTCCGTCTTTCCTGAGATAGTGAGAGGTGAAGGAAGTTTTTAATCACGCTGTTTGAGCATACTCTCTCGCACACACACGCGAAAGCACACGCGCGCGCGCACATTGCTGATCGTTTCTGTGGTCGTGAGTAAAGTGTTGAGGGAAGGTGCTCTCGTGCAGCTTTTTGTCACAAGGCGCGTGTGGAATGCTCAAGTCATGCTGACAATGTCCACACGTCAGAACGCTGTCTCATTTTCCCTAGCAGCTAGCACATGGGTACAGCCCAGAACTTAGAGGACAGTTGTCTCTTTTCGAGGGGACAAAAGGGTGGGGTGCATTCTGATTTAGCCCACTGAAGTTTCATCTGCCTATTCACTTTCTTGAGGGGGGTGTTACTTCTCCCATCACCACCAAACCCAGGTGCCCAAAGAGTGCTTTGGGATAATGCACAGCTTCAGTGAGATAATTACAGAGGAGGTTTACGACATTTACTATTGAGTCCTGCTGCGTGTCAGCCCTCCTGAGCACTCAAATGTTCAAATTATCTAATCTTCACAGCCATCCTAAAAACAAGTGATATTATCCTAAATTAGTAGATTAGGAAATAGAGACTATAGGCAGTCAGGTAATAGTCTCCTAGACCAAGTGGCAAAATGGAGATCTATGTGCATGCATTTGTGTGTGTGTTGTCCATGCATGTGTGTATGCACACTCATGTTTGTGAAGGTACATGTGTGTGGTGTGTTTTATACATGCATATGTGTATGTTCAGAAGTGTGCGTGCGTGCGTGCGTGCGTGCGTGTGTGTGTGTGTGTGTGTGTGTGTGTGTGTAGGCTAGCAGTTGATGTGTGCTGTCTTCTTTAATCACT